TCAAAAATTTAAACACCATCACCATTTTCTCTCTTCTTGAAGCCTTTTTTTGCCTTTTTATCAATTGTCTTATTCACTTTCACTCTCTGTAACATCCTGCAAAGCACTGTCACCTGGCTTGGTGTGAAATGATTTAAATAAAGAAAAGAAGAAAAAGGAAAAAAAAAAAAAAGAAGCCAATTTAACTGTAAATTGATGAGACCTTGTTGCCAAACTAGTATGGTGCTTCAATTTATAGGTACCAGATATCAGGACAATTTATTATTATTTATTATTATGCCTCTTGATTCCTTGGGGAACATAGGGCTGCAACAACACCTCCCCAATGGACTTGGTTCTGGGTGATCCTCTTCAGCTCGGCTCATGTCTTGCTGGCTATCTGTGTCTGCACCATCTGTTTTGGTTAACCTACTTTTCACCCGTCCTGGGTTTGATGATAAACTATATCCGCGTCCAGAGTAAGATGATAAACTATGTCTGACAGCAAGGCCTCTAATCAGGAGGCTTTGAGGAGCATGGAACCACCTCTTAATTTCTGGTGTTCCCAGGTCCACCCTGACCTGGGATGGCAGCACCTGTTAGGGTCCCAGCTATGGGCAAATAGTTAAACTCGAAACTGAGGTAAAAAGCATTATGAAAGTGTAAAAATAGGTTTTAATACCAGAAATAATTTGTAAAAAATTATTACCAGAAATAAATTTTGGAAGAAAAAAAATATTACCAACAATATGTTTTTGAAAAGAAAATATTACCAGCACTACATATTTTAAAATGATATTACCAGCTATATATTTTGGAGGAAAAAAACATGACCAGAAATAGATTTTTGACAAAACAAAATATTAACAGGAAAAAAAGCTGTCGGCATTAAATGACCCATTGAGGTTGATATGCCGTAAAACAAAACATACCAAACCTACTTATTGCTTCCCTTGTGGGTTCCAGTCAAGGGCCTGCCTGGTGATACTAGAAGCAGGCTTGTGGAGTGTGTGGCCGATCCGTCTCCATTTCCATTTCTTGATGTCAATCTCAATTGGTGCTTGTCTGGTCCTGTCCCACATTTGGGAGACAACTTGCAGCCACCTGATATTAAGAATGTTCCTGAGACATCGGTTGTCTGAAGTTTGTGTGTTGTTGGTCTTGGTTACTCGCCAGGTTTCTGAGCTATAAAGTAGGACCGACTTGATGTTAGTGTTGAAGATCCGGAATCAGAACAATCACTATGAAAGTATTTATAGAAAAGGCCTAGGGAAACTATGTTGTTCATGATGACGGTCGTCTTTGAGTATAGAATCCAGTGGTTAGCAGTGAATATTGCGAAGACAGTAGGGAAGCGTAGTTCAGGTTAGCAGTGGATATTCCGGTAAAGTAGCAGAGCGTAGTTCAGTCTACGGACCTCTGTTCTTTCGCCTGACAAGTTGGTACTGGACATTCGGAGAGAGTAAACAAAATGGCCGCCTTTATACACGACGGATTGAATATTTTACGTCCTCTGATTGGTTAACCTTCTATTGGTGGACTATAAAGTGAGTCAAGTCATTTGGGCTAGCTCACTAGTACATATATTCACAAAAAACTGCAAGAAACTACAGTGGGAGAGTGACTGAAGCTGGGATGACAGATTAAATGACTTTAACTGATGATCAAACTTAGATACACTTGGGCTGTTTCTCCCTCCTGTTAAAGGGACATTTTATCATGACATTTATTGTCATAGCAAGAGTTACCATCTTTGTTAGTAATGAAACCTTTTAAAGTTGACATTTCCCACCAGGGGAAATGAATTCTTAAATTTTATAAATATTATTTATATTTTTATATTTAAATTGCACTTTTTAAATTGAAAATGAGACATTTATGGAGATGTTCTGAATGGTGATTAAGATAGAAGAGCCAACATTGGAACAATAAATTCATTGTTGTTTTTTGTCCCAGATCCTGGGTATGATGATAAACTACATTTGGCAGCAAGGACTCAGATGGCTGGGTGAAGGGGGTTGCGTTGAGGATTGTGGATCCATCTCTCAGTTTCTGTTGTTCCCATCTCCACTCTAACTCAGGGGGGATAGCAATAGTGAACTCCCAAATTTGGTTCAAAACACTATAAAAATATATTTTTATAGTAAAAATACCTGCAATTGATTTTAATAGTAAAAAAAAAAAAAAAATTACCAAGACTAACAAGAAAATTAATTTTGGCATTAAATGACCCATAAGAAGTTGATATGTCGTTAAACAAGCAAACATACATAATGATTTTTGTCCTAAAAGACTTATTCAACATTAAATAACCTGAAGAGGGTTGATATGTTGTTAATTCAACTGATCTTACGTAACCAATTTATTGAGATTTTTGTCCTTTAAGACTAATATTAGAGACTATTATAAACCTAACAGGGTTGATATGTTGTTAATTCAACTGATCTTACTGTTGTAACCTAGGGAAGGTTACTGAATAGAATAATCACATAATGGTTGGTAATGAACGATAATACTTAGGACAAGAACAACACATATAAGATTTGCCAGCAGTGCGTAGAAGTAATAGTCAATTGCTAGAAATGAGTCAAGTGAATTCCACAATTAATCTTCGACTACAGAATATCTACCAACTGCCCCATGTGGTCAGATGTGGCACGAGGCTGAATTTAATGTGGGGTATCCAAGCCTGTAGGCTCAGCCAAAAATTTCCTGTAGTCTATGTATAAAATGGGCTTGGGTAACTGTTTCCTGAGATGAGACTCTGCCCTTTGACATAGCCTCGTCTGGTGATCGTCTCTGCCTGGAGGCAGAGTGTTTGACTAGCACAGCTGGTGATAAATCTTAAACTGCTGACCAACATACAGTATTAACTACTGTATTTATGTGAATGGGGATATACCCATTATTGTCTGTAGGTATGCTACAACACTTACATAACCAATTTATTGAGATTTTTGTCCTATAAGACTAATATTAGACACTATTATAAACCTAATGAGCTTGATATGTTATTAATTCAACTGATCTTAATGTAACTAGTTTTACTTTCATCTCGTTTTTTTTTTTTTTAACTGCCTAGTAGTAATAATGGTTTTAATCTGTTAACAGTTAGCGCCAAGATGGGATTCAGATGAGACAAATGTTTTGAGACTTAAGTTTTCCTTTTAGATATCTTGTTACGACCACGACTGAAAAATTAATAAATATGTAAGCCACTGTTGATGCATGTAACCCATCAAGAATTTTACAGGCAACGTTCTCTTTTTCTTTTCTCTTTCAATCCCAGATGAATTGATGTAAAAAAAAAAAATATTCATGTCTCGAAAAGAGAGTTGTTTTTTTTCTTATGTCAGTGAGCCCAAATAATTTTACACAGAGCTACCAATGAAAATATACCCGAATGTGAACTAGAACAGTTTTTAAATTTAATGATGTTGACTTTTGAGCCTGTGAAATTCTATGAACTAAAATGTCTGTATAAAAAAAATAATCAGCAAAGTCTGTATTATGCATGTAAGGAATGCATTTCAATTTGCAATTGGGGAGACAGCAACTGGATTATTATTAAAAAAAAAAAAAAAAAAAAAAGAAAGTGTATTCCAAATCTACACAAGAATCAAAAGATTCTATTGTATTTGGGAAAGAAAGGGATATGACGTTAATAAAAAGAAATCTCTGTAATTTCAATAAAATGTTAAAATGTCTTATCAGCCGCATATTTTACAAACACATTTGTTGAAAACTATATTTCTTGAAATATTGAGAAAAACATTTTACACCAGCTGAAACATAATTGATGTAATGGAATAACCTGTCACCCCCATGAATGACTACATTATAGGTAGTAACTACCTATAAGTATCTGTAACTCAACGAACTACAGAGGCTAGCTGGGATTTGTTCCAGCTAAACAGTCAAACTCTCTGCCTTCGGGCAGAAAGGAACCTGGATGAGGCTATGCCAAAGGGCAGAGTCTCGTTCGGGGAGGTAGACCAACCCGATCCCATTTATGCGGGTTCTACGAGGAGTTTTTGGCCAAGCCTACAGGCTTGGATGACCCATGTTAAACTCAGCCTTGTGCCACATCTACCCTTGTGGGAGGGGCTAGTAAACATTGACTTGCTGGGATCTGTTGAGTATGACTCAGACTTACGCGAGAACTACTGACCTTCCAATAGTAGCACTCACTACTGGATTGACTTGCGACAACCTTGTGCATAACTGTTATCTTTATTCTTATTGTATTGGTTTTACAATAAACCTTTACTTATTTTATCTACCATGTTTTTCAAGTATATATTCCTATTAGCACAGGATATAACAATAATAAAACAAATGTTTTGAATGAATTTTCAACAAAGTGTGCTCAGGAGTCAGAGCATTAGATTAAGCAAAGTATCTGGGAGACGTTTTATCAAGGAATACAAATGTTTTTTTTTTTACTTCCTGTGAATCCTTCTCGCTCTTATAGGCCCTAGTAGTAATCTGCTAAACCCAACTCTCATAGGTTTTTAGATTAACCCTCTGACACCCTAAACATGTAGGATCTGAAATAAGTCCTATGAACTTCCTCATTCTCATGAACTTTGAGATTGTCCCTCTGAACACCCCTCACTCTCATGGGCTGTGAGATTAGCCCTCTGAACACCCCTCATTCTCATGGGCTGTGAGATTAGCCCTCTGAACACCCCTCACTCTCATGGGCTGTGAGATTAGCCCTCTGAACGCCCCTCACTCTCATGGGCTGTGAGATTATCCCTCTGAACACCCCTATTCTTGTTGGCTTTGAATTTAAGATTAAAATTTAATCACCAATATGATGATAGAAAGAAATCCCTAAGTAGCTTATTGGACTTGTAACTAGTAATTCTGTTTATTGTTCGATATTTGTGTGTAAATGATTATAATATTCCCAACAGGAATTGAAAAAGAATCGGTTATCCAGTCTCCAATTCTGAGGAGTTATCCATTACATCACCCACACATCCAAGCTTAATTACACCACCAGTCCATCCAAA